ACCGTTTCGGCAAACCAGATTAAAATTTACATCCGTTTCGTCCAAACTGGCTGAATCCCACTCCTGGCTACTGCAAAGGTCTTTAAAAGTGTGAAAAACGCTCCTTACATCCCTTTTTTGAACGGTCGCTAAATTAATTGTTCTAAACCGAGGACTCTGTCTACCAGTAAGAACCGTGAGTGTACGCTGTTTGTCTTCCCCTCTACCCCGCCAGGAAGTGCAACTTCTACGGGGGGACCGTCTCCGAGGGGGAACTTGGCGCAGGAAGCCTCTCTCTTTGAGAATAAAACGGATGACCTAAACTGGGCACACCCCACAGGAGGGAACATGGCACAATAAAATGATTGCAATAAATTATTGCAGCATAAAAATATTGCTGCATCGGGCACAACGCCCAAAATTAGCAGGGAACAGAGGCATGGTAGATGCAATCGTATAAACATAGCAACAAAACAAACAAGAGATATCAGATTGTGATGCAAAAAAACTCTGTACAGCAGCTGAGTTTGCGTTTTTTCAGCCGTGGCCCCTTTAAGATGGGTGGACTTCAACTCCCAGAATTCCCCAGCTGGCTGGGGAATTCTGGGAGTTGAAATCCACCATGTTAAGGTTGAGAAACCACAGGATTAGATGAAAAGTATCCGGTGCCTTTCCATCTATCGCTTCACCCGATTTGATTCTGCAAACCAACTTAAGCTTATCACCGTCGCCTCATCTTGTGGCAGGGAGTTCCGTCGGTTACTGAAGGCAGATTTTTTTCGTTCATCTTCAATCTCTGCAACTCGGCTTCATCAATCCTAAATCGTCGTATGGTACGGTCACTAAACGTTGTAAGGTGAGGACTGTGGCAATTCCGTGGCAAAAAAAATCAGAGTATCTGAAAAGAGCCACAAGCTTTTTTCACGGACATCTTTGCTGTATTTCAAATTTTTACGGCGTGCCGAGTTCCAAACTGAAAGCATAATGTGTTATTTTCCTTTCCCCCCACCCTTGGGATAATTCTCCATTTTCAACTTTCCCAAACCGGTGGCAGGTTGATCTAAGTCTGACATCACCTCTCCACTTTCTGCCGAATTAAAACTGCACCGGTTGCATTTCTGCCTGCAAGCAGGCTTGGCGACTTTTAAGACTTGTGGACTTGAATTCCCCAGCCAGCAAAGGATTTCCCAGCATGAATGGGATGAGAATAAATGCGACTGGATTACTTTATCCCATGTTTTTAACTTTCTTAATAGATGGTGGGAATGCGGTAAACATAATATATCTTGACTTCAGCAAAGTTGGAAAAAAAAAAGAGCTGGCCTGGAGAATTCTGGGAGTTGAAGTCCCCAGGCCTTAAAATCACCACGTTTATAAACTCCTGGTCTACAAAATAATTTATTCACACCTGCCCTCCGGGTGTGCTGAATCCCAGACCCATGCTCCTGAGCCAGTACAGCCACGCTTATTCAATTATGGGAAACGTAGTCCCACATTGGTGGGACGCGGTGGCTCAGCGGCTAAGACGCTGAGCTTGTCAATCGAAAAGTCGGCAGTTCAGTGGTTCGAATCCCTAGCGCCGCGTAATGGGGCGAGCTCCCGTCACTTGTCCCAGCTTCTGCCAATCTAGCTGTTTGAAACCCCGTAAAAAATGCAAGTAGAAAAAAATAGGGGCCACCTTTGGTGGGAAGGGAACAGCGTTCTGTGCGCCTTCGGCGTCGCGTCATGCCGGCCGCATGACCACGGAGACGTCTTCGGACAGCGCTGGCTCTTCGGCTTTGAAACGGAGATGAGCACCGCCCCCTAGAGTCAGGAACGACTAGCACATATGTGCGAGGGGAACCTTTACCTTTAGTCCAACATTTCTCAAATTCGTGAGGACAATCCTTCCATCCACAGCTAGAAAACCCAGCCTCCAACCTTCACCTTGGCTGCCCCTGTTACCTGAGGAAAAAAAAATCACACCTGGAGAACAGGTTTTTTTTCCCCTGCTTGCCTTAACCTGCAACTCCAAATAATAGAGAAGGAACAGAACATTAGAGGTTGAAAATAAAAATGTGCTTTTTTTCATTTTTGTTCTAAGCCTGGTAATCCCCTTCTCAGCAGTGTTGAGCAATTTTTAAGACAGGTAGATTTATGTCGGCTGGGGAATTCTGGGAGAAGTCCACCTGTCTTAAAGAACCAGTATTGGAATTCTGGGAGTTGAAGTCAGACCATCTTAAAGGACCAGCATGAGAATTCTGGGAGTTGAAGTCCACCCGTCTTAAAGGATCAACATGAGAATTCTGGGAGTCGAAGTCCGCCCGTCTTAAGGAACCAGCACGAGAATTCTGGGAGTTGAAGTCCACCTGTCTTAAAGAACCAGCACGAGAATTCTGGGAGTTGAAGTCCACCCATGTTAAAGGATCAGCACGAGAATTCTGGGAGTTGAAGTCCACCTGTCTTAAAGAACCAGCACTGGAATTCTGGGAGTTGAAGTCCACCCATCTTAAAGAACCAGCATGAGAATTCTGGGAGTTGAAGTCCACCCATCTTAAGGAACCAGCACGAGAATTCTGGAAGTTGAAGTCCACCTGTCTTAAAGAACCAGCACTGGAATTCTGGGAGTTGAAGTCCACCCATGTTAAAGGATCAGCACGAGAATTCTGGGAGTTGAAGTCCACCTGTCTTAAAGAATCAGCACTGGAATTCTGGGAATTGAAGTCCACCCGTCTTAAAGAACCAGCATGAGAATTCTGGGAGTTGAAGTCCACCCATCTTAAAGAACCAGCATGAGAATTCTGGGAGTTGAAGTCCACCCATCTTAAGGAACCAGCACGAGAATTCTGGAAGTTGAAGTCCACCTGTCTTAAAGAACCAGCACTGGAATTCTGGGAGTTGAAGTCCACCTGTCTTAAAGAACCAGCACGAGAATTCTTGGAGTTGAAGTCCACCTGTCTTAAAGAACCAGCACGAGAATTCTTGGAGTTGAAGTCCACCTGTCTTAAAGAACCAGCACTGGAATTCTGGGAGTTGAAGTCCATCCATCTTAAAAGAACCAGCACGAGAATTCTGGGAGTTGAAGTCCACCTGTCTTAAAGAATCAGCACTAGAATTCTGGGAATTGAAGTCCACCCATCTTAAAGGACCAGCACTAGAATTCTGGGAGTTGAAGTCCACCCATCTTAAAGGATCAGCATGAGAATTCTGGGAGTCGAAGTCTACCTGTCTTAAAGTTGCCAAGGTTGGAAGACACTGTCCTAAAGTCAAGAAAATCCTTTGATTGGTTTATTTTTTTCCCCTCCTATTGCAATCTTTACAATAGTGCTCGACTTACACCCACTTAGTGACCGTTCAAAGTTACAACGGCACTGAAAAAAAAGTAACTTGGGACCATTTTTCACACTTACAACTAATTGAAATGCTTGGCAACAGGCATGTACTTACGACGGTTGCAGTGTGATCCCCTTTTAGGACCTTCTGACGAGCAAAATTGGGGGGGGGAGCCAGATTCACTTAACAACCTGCGTGACTCATGTAACAACTGCACCGATTCACGTAATAACCACAACATAAAAATAGACCAAACTCCCTCAACAACCATCACAGCCTCACAAATGTTGAATTCCATTGTAGTTGTACGCAGTGGTGGGATCCTCCCGGTTTAACAGCCGGTTCGGTGATCGCATGATTTGCACGGGGCGAACCGGTTTGCTCCCAGCTGATCGTCAGAGCTATCAGTTCGCCCGAACCGGTCCGAACCAGTAGAATCCCACCACTGGTTGTACGTCTGGCTGACGGCCCACTGTCAGCCAGAAAGCGAGGCCTCTGATAGGGACCTGTTACCTCCCCCGAAATAAGGAATGTAAGTTTTGCTCGCGGTTGCAAACCATAAATTGCTGCCTGAGCCACTACTAAACCATGGTTTATCCTGCCGATCGAGTTGCGGTTAAAGGCAGAGGAAGCGAGCTGAGTTGGGCTGGGCGGTTGTAAATTCCCTTGCATTGGTTTTAGATTTTATTCAAGGGAGAAGAAGCAAGTGGTGGAATCTGGAGAATTCACATTATCTCTTGGAACATGAATATTTTGGCAGGCCCCGTTCCCACCATCCGGGCACAGGGTGTTCTCAAGCTCCTTATCTAACCCTCCCTAGCAAACTGAGGCTTAACGCCAAGCCAAATCTCCATGCTCCGCTTGATAAAATGTCTGTTTTGGGGCCGTACAGTTGGGTGTGAGAGTTGGCTTCAGACAACCCGGCTGTTGTTTCACACAACACATGAAACCCAGGTTTATCCAAACAGGATGCTTGTATTTCCAACATGGCCGACGCCCGAACAGATCAGTCCTATTTTAAGGATCGATTAAGTTTCATTTTATAGTTGTTTAGTGACGGTTCAGAGTTACAACGGTACCGAAAAAAAGAGGCTGAGGGACTTTTTTTCACACTTAACGACCGTCGCAACATCCCCGCGGTGACGCAATCCAAATTCAAACGCTTCACGACCTATAGTTCAACCACAAGTTCACGGCAGGGTATGGTCAAAAGAATCAAGATGGCGGCCACCCCTCCACCCTAACTCCCAGCAAAACAAATGCCTCTACCCTTTCAATAGTCAAATAAATGTAATAAATTTGTGTAATTTGTAGATCTAAAAGTACGTACAGCTTTAAATAGACATGTAAGACCTTGTTAGGGTGGGTTGCAGAGTCAGCCAGATGTTCTAGAGACGAGATCTAGAAGTTTGGTCCACCTCTTCAGTCCTTCTCAAGGACCTGAAGATAAGGCAGATGTGGATGTTAAATGGTGTAAAAAAAAAAAAAAAAAGATTTTCGGGTAGGATTTAAGCCGGTCCAAATTGAGCTGCCTTTCGCAATTGACCGATGGGGAATTTGTCAATTCCGATGTTGTTCAAATGGCGCTCCGGTTGTTTGGCATCGGCACACCGGGCGTCTATGACTATCGGTACCTCCCTGTTATTAATTCTGTTAATTGCAAAATTACAATTATTAATTTTCCCTCCCATGTTTTCTCCCTCCGGCAGGCCCCAACCCACAAGCCTCGAAGGGCACCCACATTCTGGTACCCGTCGGCGGTTCCATGCCCGGCATGGGCTGGTCAGCGGAAATGACCAGCTCGGACGACGACACCATGTCTATCCGAGTTTGCCCCTCGCCCAGAGCGGTGATCGGCAAGTACCAGTTCAGCGTGAAGACCCGAAGCAAGGCGGGCGAGTACGCCGCGCCCTTCGACCCCAACAACGAGGTGTACATCCTCTTCAACCCCTGGTGCCCAGGTAAGTTGTGGGGAGGAATAAGCGGGCGAGAGAAACAGAGGGGAGGAGGAGGAAGTCCAGAATTGGCAGCCTGGCTTTGCTCAAGGGGGCATTTCGCAGCTAAATTGGGGATTCGGCTCCCAGAATTCCCTTGTTAGGATGACTGGGGACTTCTGGGAGGTGAATAGCGTGAGGTTTGGAAGGCTGATGGAGGCAACCTTTGATTGGGGTGTCGTATCTATTATCGATCTGCTTAGATTATCAATTAAAGAGGGGCCCTGTGATTTTATTTTAGAGAGGACAATCACTTGGGAGGGAGGGAGGGAGAAAGGAATGGATGGATGGATTAGAAGGGAGGGAGGGAGGGAGGAGAGAGAGATGGATGGATGGGAAGGAAGGAAGGAAGGAAGGAAGGAAGGAAGGAAGGAAGGAAGGAAGGAAGGAAAGCAGGCAGATGGAAAGAAGGAAGGAAGGAAGGAAAGAGATGGATGGATGGATGGATGGAAGAAAGGAACGAAGGAACGAAGGAAAGAAAGCAGGCAGATGAAAAGAAGGAAGGAAGGAAAGAGATGGATGGAAGGAAGGAAGGAAGGAAGGAAGGAAGGAAGGAAGGAAGGAAGGAAAGAGAGATGGATGGATTGATGGATGGAAGGAAGGAAGGAAGGGAGGGAGGAGAGATGGATGGATGAAAGGAAGGAAGGAAGGGAAGAAAGGAGAGATGGATGGATGAAAGGAAGGAAGGGAAGGAAGGAGAGGGAGGGAGGGAAGGGAGGGAGAGATGAATGGATGAAAGGAAGGAAGGAAGGAAGGAGAGATGGATGGATGAAAGGAAGGAAGGGAAGGAAGGAGAGAGAGATGGATGGAAGGGAGGGAGGGAGGGAAGGAAGGAGAGAGAGATGGATGGAGGGAAGGAAGGAAGGAAGATGGATGGATGGAAGGGAGGAAGGAAGGAAAGGAAGGAAGGAGAGAGAGATGGATGGAAGGGAGGGAGGGAAGGAAGGAAGAAAGAAAGGAGATATGGATGGAAGGAAGGAAGGAGAGAGAGATGGATGAAAGGAAGGAAGGATGGATGGATGGATGGATGGAAGAAAGGAATCATTCATTCACATCTTTGAACTTTTTCTTAATAATAATTTATAGCAGTTCTTCCCAAAGCTGGGTGAATTACCTCAAATTGGTCAAATGTGCTCTTTCTGTGAGTAACAACACACAAAATCAATCACAACAGTCACATTTAAGTTGCCTTAAAGGTTTTACGTATATTAGATAAATATATTGTATCACAGTCCTTGACGTAAAGCCCTTCGTTTCGTGACCAAAGTTTCCACAGTCCTCACCCTTACGACCGTTGCAAGATCCCCTCAGTTAACGCCATCGAACTCCAGACACTTGGCACCCCTCCTCTATTTACAACGGGTTGCCGCGTCGCGCGATCCCCATGTGCGACCTTCCCAGCCGGCTTCCGGCAAAGAAAGGAAGTCAACGGGACAGCCAGCTTCACTTAACGACTGCACTTGGTTTACCCATCGTAGCAGAAAAAGTTGTGCATCGCGCAATCCCTGCCTCGCTTAACGACACACACCCTGTCCTCAGTTGTGGTCGTAAGGGCGAGGACCAACTGCCGTTTCCCACGTCGATGGCTGGGTTTTTAACGTCTAAAAATCCGTGAGAAAATGGCCGCCGACCTTTGTCCAATCTCTTGGACATTGGGACATTGGGCCATTCGACATTGGACAATCTCATTGGGCATCGCGCAATCCCTGCCTCGCTTAATGACACACACCCTGTCCTCAGTTGTGGTGGTAAGGGCGAGGACCAACTGCCGTTTCCTACATCGATGGCTGGGTTTTTAACGTCTAAAAATCCGTGAGAAAATGGCCGCCGACCTTTGTCCAATCTCTTAGAAGTTGCCATGCTTGGTTTTTTTTCCCCACGATTGTCATGAAAGATGCACAACACACAATCTAAATCTCTAAATCTCCACGCCACAACACACCCTCCTCCTGACCTCGGTGCGAAAGGCGCTGGCTTAATTTTCTGCCCGAGTCAGCAGGGCGTGGGAATGATGGAGCCTTGATTGCGTAGCCGAGACACTTTGAGAAAGAAGAAGAGAAGAAAGGAAGAACCAAAACGACAAAATAATAAATTCATTATTTGTCCTTTCTGCCCGGTTTCCTTCCCCCACCACTTCCTTTTCGCCACACCCCAAACCGGTTTTTTTTATCAAAACTAGAATTTTTTTTTGGCTTCCGACAAACCAGCTGTGTTCTCACAACACATTAAACCCGGGTTATCGAAAACGGAGCGTTTTTTTTTATTTTCAAAATGGATGACGCCCAAACAGATCAGTCCTATTTTTAAGGATTGATTTAAGTTTCGCTTTACAAATTGTCCTTGACTTACGACTGTTCATTTAGTGGCCGTTCAAAATTACTGAAAAAAGGGACCTAAGGACCGTTTTTCACCCTTACGGCCATTGCAATATTCTCCACAGTCACATGATCGAATTCAGACGCTCGGCAACGGTTTCGTATTTATGACGGTCGCAGTGGCTCCAGGTCACGTAATCCCCTCTGGCGACCTTCTGGCAAGAAAAATCAGTGGGGAAGCTGCATTCACTTAATGACAGTGATTCACTTCACAGCTGCGGCAAGCAAGGTCGTAAAACGGGCAAAACTCCCTTCGCCAATGTCTCGCTTAGGAACAAAAATTTGGGGCTCAAATTGTCATCATAAGTCAACCCCAAATAGATCAGTGCTATTTTAAAGATTGATTTAAGTTTCGCTTTATACATCGTCCTTGACTTACGACCATTCGTTTAGTGACCATTTGAAGTTACAACGGCACCGGAAAAAAGGGGACTTAGGACCGGTTTTTCACCCTTACGACCGTCGCAGTATTCCCCGCGATCACGTCTTCAGAATTCAGACGCTCGGCAACGGATTCGTATTTATGACGGTCACAGCGTCTCCAGGTCACGCGATCCCCTCTGGCGACTTTCTGGCAAGCAAAATCAGTGGGGGAGCTGGTTTCGCTTAACGACCGTGTGGCTCGCTTCCCAACAGCACTTTGCAGCTGTGGCAAACAAGGTCGTAAAACGAGCAAAAGCCCCTCCGTCAATGGCTCGCTTAGGAACAGAAATTTGGGGCTCAATTGTCGTAAGTCGAGGACGACTCGTAAATGGGTTTATTTTTGCATTTGAAGGTATTTCTTAAGAGATCGGAGTTCAGTTTGACGTGGCTCCTTTCTTAAGGGGGGGGGAGAAAATGGGAATTTCCCCGATTCCCGTCTTTGTCAATATGTCCGACTTTGGAACCTTCTGGAAGGAAACGGGCAGGTGTGGCGTGGTAGTTGTTCTATATGCAAAAATTTAGGAATTGTATCACACCTCCCACACCCCTGTTCCTCTTTCCTTCCTGAACTGCAGGGAAGGCTGAGGAGAGACGGCGAAAAAAAAACATTTCTCCCTGCTATTCGTCGAAGGACAAAGACCAAAGGAAATAAATCTTTAGCTTGGCACACAGAAGGGAACATTTTTTAAAAAAGGAAAAACGAGGACTCACACAAACACAAACACACAAACACACACCCTAAATAGGTATTGTTTTCTCAGAGCTGTCAGGAAGGAAAAGAAAGATAAAACCTTTTGATCTGTTTTTTATTTTGATCAAACCTCAGGAAATGACCTCCAGGTCATTATTTGCTCGTCTATCTCTGAAAAGTTTTTTTTTTTTCCCTCAAGGAAATATCGAAAGTCCTCAACGTACGACCATAACAGCCCAAAATATGTGTCATTCAGTGAGTTTTGCCCCGCTCGTCTATCTCGGAAAAGATTTTTTTTTTTCAAGGAAATACAGAAAGTCCTCAATGTACGACCGTAACTGAGCCCAAAATGTGTGTCATTCAGTGAGTTTTGCCCCATTTTACGACTTTTCTTGACACTGTTGTTCAGAGAATCACCGACCTTCTTAAGTTAGTCAAACGGTCGTTAAGCGAATCTAGCTTCCCCCATTAACGTTGCTTGTTGGAAGGTCGCAAAAGGGCAGCGTCCGAACCGGCTGAATCCACCTCTGCAAAAGGTATCACGTGACTTCTGCAAAAGGGGATCACGTGACACTGCGACCGTCATAAATATGAGTCCATTACCCAAGCGTCTGGATTTTGATCATGTGACCCATTTAGTGAGTTTTGCCCTGCTCGTCTATCTCGGAAAAGGTTTTTTTTTTCAAGGAAATACAGAAAGTCCTCAACGTACGACCATAACTGAGCCCAAAATGTGTGTCATTCAGTGAATTTCGCCCCGTTTTATGACTTTTCTTGACACCGTTGTTCAGAGAATCAGCGACCTTCTTAAGTTAGTCAGACGGTCGTTAAGCGAATCCTACTTCCCCCATCGACGTTGCTTGTTGGAAGGTCGCAAAAGGGCAGCGTCCGAACCGGCTGAATCCACCTCTGCAAAAGGGGATCACGTGACACTGCGACCGTCATAAATATGAGTCCATTGCCCAAGCATCTGGATTTTGATCATGTGACCCATTTAGTGAGTTTTGCCCTGCTCGTCTATCTCGGAAAAGGTTTTTTTTTTCAAGGAAATACAGAAAGTCCTCAACGTGCGACCATAACTGAGCCCAAAATGTGTGTCATTCAGTGAGTTTCGCCCCGTTTTACGACTTTTCTTGACACCGTTGTTCAGAGAATCAGTGACCTTCTTAAATTAGTCAGACGGTCGTTAAGCGAATCCTACTTCCCCCTACGACCAAGCATCTGGATTTTGATCATGTGACCCTAGAGATTACGATCGAAAGTGTGAAAAATAAGTCACGAGTCCCTTTTTTTCAGTGCCACCGTAACTTTGAACGGTCGTTGAAATCAAGAACGATTCGTTTTTTAAAAAAAAATAGTATTTTATTGTAACCATTTTTAGGAAGCTAACTTTTTTTTCAGAGGGATCCCAAAGCGGCCCACACGAGGGACAAAAATTCACAATAAATAACATTTTTATTTGCAAGAAAAGATCAGCAAGAAGCAAAAAATTTTATTTTAATTTCCCCAACTAAAGACGTTTTCAAAGGGAGATGAGATCGCCAAGGTGTGTTTTGTGGTTGAGACGGTTCCTTCCTCCCTTTAAAATATATTTTTTAAAAGGAAAATAGAAGCGGCTGGATTTGTTTTCCACATTTACTTTAATTTTCCTCGTTTTCCCCTCCTTTAGAGGATTCCGTCCACATGCAACAGAGCGACTGGCTAAAGGAATACGTGCTGAACGAAACGGGAAGAATTTATTACGGGACGGAAAGTCAGATCGGCGAGCGAACATGGAACTACGCGCAGGTAAGGTGACCTTTTTCGTCTTTTCGTCAGAAATATTTGGGGAGCAAATGGCCCTTGAAAGGACTCTGGCGGAGTTATAGGTATGTATCTCTACAAACCCCGGATTAGTTTTGGGCCACGTTTTGCTGTGAGGAGCTGCTGTGCGAGAAATTGGCGGCTATTTTGTTAAGGTTGAAAAAGTGAGACGGCTAAGGAACCAGCAAGGGAATAGAAGATGTTCGAGGTGATTTTTAAAGAGAGAGAGAGTGAGGAGAAAGGAAGGAAGGAAGGAAGGGAAGGAAGGAAGGAAGGAAGAAGGAAGGAGGGAAGGAAGGAGAGAGAGAGAGGAGAGAGAGAGAGAGAGAGAGAGAGAGAGAGAGAAAGAAGAAAGAAAGAAGGAAGGAAGGAAGGAAGGAAGGAAGGAAGGAAGGAAGGAAGGAAGGAAGGAAGGAAGGAAGGAAAGAAAGATAGATTGGACAGCCATTTGTCTGAAATGGTGTAGAATCTCCAGCTTAGGTAGGGGGGTGGACTAGATGACTTACAAGATCCCTTCCAAATCTGCTATTCTGTGTTCTGTATCAACAAAAGTTTTATTAGTGAAGAAGGGAGGGGAAGGGGAAAGAGGAAAGGAAAAGAGAGGAGAGGAGAGGAGAGGAGAGGAAAGGAAAGGAAAGGAAAGGAAAGGAAAGGAAAGGAAAGGAAAGGAAAGGAAGATAGAAAAAGGAGGAAAGAAGGAAAGGAAAGGAAAGAACAGAAAAATAAACAGAAAGACAAAAGGGAGGGAAGGAAAGGAAAGGAAAGGAAAGGAAAGGAAAGGAAAGGAAAGGAAAGGAAAGGAAAGGAAGATAGAAAAAGGAGGAAAGAAGGAAAGGAAAGGAAGATAGAAAAAGGAGGAAAGAAGGAAAGGAAAGGAAAGAACAGAAAAGAACAGAAAGAGCCTTGATAACAGGGAGGCACTGTAATTAACAAGGAGATTCTGCTGGTTCGAATCTCGAAGGAAAGGAGAAGGAAAGGTAGGTGAAATGAGGAAGTTTGTGGGGAAAGGACTTTGAAAAACATACAAAAGAAGAACTATTGAACGCAGAAGCCGAGTCTCCGGAGAAGGGCGGAACAAAACAAAAAAAAAAAAAAAAGAACAAACAGAACAGAACAGAAAGGACAAAAGGAAGGAAAAGAAAGGGAAGGAAGGGAAGGGAAGGAAGGAAGGAAGGAAATGGGAATAAGAAGGGAGGGAGGGTGGAAGACAGACTGAAAACAATGCAAACATGGCTACATTTCTCATTAGGGCAGGGGAATCCCTGGAATGTGGTCAAAAAAGTCAAAATGGCCACCGCAATGGTGCAGTCATCGCCCAGAGAGGCCCTGGGAAGCCACGGTTCCCTGCTCCCATGACCTTCCTCCTTGTCTCCCCTCAGTTTGACCACGGGATCCTGGATGCTTGTTTGTTCATGCTGGATAAGCGGGGGATGCCTCACGCAAGCCGATCCGATCCGATCATGGTTTCCCGCGTCGTCTCGGCCATGGTGAGTGGTGAATGGCTTCCTCTCCCTTCCCAGGCTCTGACGAGGGATCCAGAACCTTCTTAAAGAAGGGAAAATGCCAATTATTATTTCATTTATCTTTTCTTATGCTTTGCCTTGTTTGGTTCATAGCTTCGATCAATTCTCCTCGTTTCCTTTCTTCAATATCCCATTTTATTTTCTGTATTCTACATTTTCCTTTCTTTTCTCTCTCTCTCTCTTTTTCTTTCCCTCTCTTTTTCTTTCTCGCTCTCTCTCTTTCTCTTCTTTCTTTCTTCTTTTTTGTCTTTGTCTTTCTCTCTCTTTCTCTTTCTTTCTCTTTCTATCTCTTTCTTTTTTCTTTTTCTTTCTCTTTTCTTCTCTTCTTCTTTTTCTTTTTCTTTCTTTTTTCTTTCTCTCTTTCTCTCTTTCTTTCTCTTTCCCACTCCCTCTCTTTCTTTCTCTTTCTCTCTCTCTTTCTTTCCCTTTCTCTCTTTCTTTCTCTTTCCCACTCTCTCTCCTTCTCTCTCTCTCTCCTTCTCTCTTTCTCTCTTTTTTCTTTCTCTTTCTCTTTCTCTTCTCTCTTTCTCTGTCTCTTTCTATCTCTCTCTCTCTTTCTTTCTCTTTCTTCTCCTTGGGCATTAACCTAACTAAATAAATCCAAGCACAGCAATCACTTACCAACTGAGTACAGGCAGTCCTCAGCTTACGACCACGATGGCGGTCATGCAAAAGCCGGTTTCGCTTAACAACGGTGTAACTAACTCCTGCATTGATTCACTTAACAACTGTCTCCCTTAGCAACATAACTTTTGGGCTCAATTGGGGTCATAAGTCGAGGATTACCTGTCCCCAAACAAGAAAATAACGCCCTTCCTCAACTCTGCTTCTGTTTTTACCCACCTGTTCTGTTTGCAGAGATTTGCTAATAAGTTCTATTTTTTAAATATATATATATATATATATATATATATATATATATATATATATATAAGATAAAAAAAATATATATCACAGGTGCCACATTTTTCTTGATTTGCACATTTAATTTGCACATTCTCTGCGGGAACGTGGAGCAGCCTTTGAACCTGATGAATTAATTAATCTATGAATTAATTGACGTGGATCTGGAATGGCTGGTTGGATCAGCCGGCTTCTGTTCTAGGAAGGCCAAGCCAAGGCCTGCTTGTGTTTTCAGCCTGCCGTGCCGTGCCACCCCTTAATTGGGGTGCAACTCTTGCAATATTTGGGGAACAGGATAATTGCTTCCTTTCTCAAACGATTCATCAGAGCCGTTCGGTTCTCGTAAGGTCAGATTGTTGCCGCACAATGCCTGAACCACACAAAACTATTCTTCAAAGGGCCATAATGCACACGAGCTCAGCTCCGGCTGATTTTCGGGCCTTCTGGGCCCACTGGAAGTCATCAAACAAGCCGTTTCTGGCCTCCAGAGGGCCTCCGGTGGGAGGCGGTGGGGAAGGCCGTTTTTGTCCTCCCCAGGCTCCTAGAAAGGCTCTGGAGCCTGGAGAGGGCGAAAAACGGGCCTACTGGGCCCACCGTGCCATCGCGGGCCAAAAGCGGGGGAAGTGCGGAGGGGTCGCACCCACACCCACACGGGGGTGAGGCGCATAGAATTATGGGTGTGGGCACGCGCGTGTGCGACACCCCCCCACACACACACATTCCCCCCGCTTTTGGCACGCGATGGCACAAAAGTTAGCCATCACTGCCCTACACCATTTCAGACAAATGGCTGTCCACTCTTCTTAAAAAACCCCAGAGATGGAACAACCACCACTTCTGGTGGCGAGCTGTTCCACTGATTAATTGTTAAGAGATTTCTCCTTCATTCCACGTTGCTTCTCTCCTCAATTAGTGGTTTCTTGAAGCCCTGCCTTCAGGAGCTTTGGAAAATAAGTAGTAGACTCCTTCCTCTTTGGGGCAGCCCCTCAAATATTGGAAGACTGATAACATGTCCCCTCAGTCCTTCTTTTTCTACCCAAATCCTGCAACCGTTCTTCGTGTGCTTCGTGTGCCTTTCATCATCTTAGTTGCTTCTTCTCTGCCCTTTTTCCAAAGTCTCAACAACATCTCTTTTGTAACGTGGTGACCGAAACTGGTTGCAACATTCCAGGAGTGGCCTTACTAAGGCTGTATCAAGCGGGTAGTAATACTTCCGGTGATTTTGATTCTACGCCTCTGTTTACACAACCGAGGATCGTATTCGCTTTGTTATCTCACGGCTGCGGCCTCTCATACATATTCTTGCATTTAATTTCCTCTGACCTCTTCTGCTTTTCCTGTTCCGTTGCTCGCTCAGCAATGGGTCGGCTCCCTCACCCCCGAGATAAATTCCTCTCACCGCAATCCGCCAAAAATGTATACCGTAATGAACTTGAAAGAGTCACAAATCTTGAGAAATCACACCAAGAGCCACAGAATTGACGGTGGAGAAACCACGCAGTAAGAGTTACAGGCAGGGGTGGGATTCAAAAAATGTTAGCAACTGGTTCTCCGCCCGGTTGCTGGGGTGGGCGTGGCCATGGTGGGCGTGGCCTACTCGCCTCCTGCACCATGGCGGGGGTGTGTGTTCGCCCTCCCCAGGCTCTGGAGGCTTTCCTTGAGCCTCAGGTGAAAACAGCCTCCCCCAGGCTCCAGAGGCCCTCTGGAGGTCAGAAACAGGCCCATTTCTGGACTTCTGGTACTTCCAGGAGGCCCGTTTTTCGCCCTTCGAGAGCTTCCACGTAGGTGCTGCACTTACTTGGCATCCAAAACAAACTGTGTGGAGACTCCTGGGAAGGGAGGGGGGGCGGGGGGCCAGCCAGTCCTTGCAACTACCGGTTCGGCAAACCAGATGTAAAATTAGGATCCGATTTGCTCGAACGGGGCCGAACCGGTTGAATCCCAGCCCTGTTTACAGGCGTTAAAAAACAGAAATTCAGCCCCGGAAACGGGGAAAACCTTGAAAAATAATCTCAAATGTTTTACGCAAAGCAATGGGTTTTTTTTTAACGGACAGGTAGTCCTCGATTTATGACCAGAACGGAGAGCAGAAATTTGGTCGTTCAGTGAGCCATGCTTGATTTCACGCCCCTTTTCCCAGGGTTGTTAAGCGAATCACTGCCGTGGTTAAAATAAATGAATCAGGTAATCGTTAAGCAAATCCGGCTGTCCCTGTTGACTTTGTCTGTCAGAAATTGCTTAGGAAGGTCACAACTGAGGAATCACATGACCCCATCATGCCACAACCGTCATAAATATGTACCGATTGTCAAATGTGCAAATTTTGCTCATGTGACTATAGGGACCTTGCAAGTTATAAGTGCGAGGACCGGTCATAAGTTACTATTTTCAGTGCCGTCGTAAGTCAAGGAGTCCCTGAAATGTTTTAATACATGACCTATAAGTGATACACAACATTTCAACCTTTACTAACCTTCCTTCCTTCTCCTTTTTCCTCTTTTTGTTCCGCTTTAGTTTAGTTTAGTTTTAAAAAATTGGTTCCTTCCTGCCTCTTTTTGTTTTCCATTGTTTGTCCAGCTTTTGCAATTTCTGTTTAAACATTTTTCTAGCTTTCTTATTGAATAAAATAAGTTGAACTGAAAAAAAATAATAATAGGGAGGGAAGGGGAATATAGCATCAGGCTTTTAAAGCGGACGTCACCCCTTCGAGGTAGGCTTGATGGAGTACCCAACTCCATAAATATGGCTTTATAGAGATGGGTTAAAATACCATTTTTCAACCTGGCCAACTTGAAGTCGTGCGGACTTCAACTCCCAGAAGTCTTTGTTTTGCTGGCTGCGGAATTCTGGGAGTTGAAGTCCACATGTCTTTAAGTCTCCAAGGTTGAAAAACACTATATACAGGTTGTCCTCGATTTACGACCATAATTCAGCCCAATTTTTCTGTTGCTAAGTGAGACATTTCTTAAGTCAAGTTTGCCCCATGTTACGACTTTTCTTGCCACCTTTGTTAAGCAAATCCCTGCAGTTCTTGAATTAGTCACCTGGTCGTTAAGCGAATCCGGCTTCCCCATGGACTTTGCTCGTCAGAAGGTCGCATAAGGGGATCCCGTGAGCCTGGGGACACTGCAAACCATGATAAACACGAGTCAGTTGCCAAGCGTCCGCATGTACGGTAAATCACGTGACTATGGGTCAAGGGTCGTAAGTCTGAAAAGTGGTCCGAAGTCACATTTTTCAGGGCTGTTGTAACTTCGAACAGTCCCTAAGCGAATGTCGTAAGTCGAGGACTACCTGTACAGCTGTATATAAATAAGAATCGTGGTCCCCAACACAGTAGATGCATTTACCACCGGCCAGGTTAGCAAAGATGTTTAAAAACATGTCCGCCAGATGTTGGAAATGTAACCAGACACCGAGTACATATTATCACATGTGGTGGACATGCACAAAAGGAAAGCAATATTGGGCAAAAATGCATACACGGTTAGAAAAAAAACGTTAAAGCGGCACATAGATTGTAAGCCAGAAACATATTTTTGTTAGGTATTATACCTGAAAAGTATAATAAAAAAGGGAATTGATATTTAATATGACATGTTTTGACAGCGGCAAGAATTGTATTTGCATAATACTGGAAAAATGAGGAAGCACTTTCAGAAGATGTAATTTTTAAAAAAATTAGACTGGGCTGAAATGGAGAGATTGACACTAAAAATAAGAGAAAAAGAAGATACAGAATATTTTCAAACATGGGACTTGTTTTACAAATGGTTGGATAATAGAACAGCAGTGGGTTTCAGATATTGTTCCCACTGGTTCGTCGCGCGGGCGCACGCTAGCTTTGCATGCGCACGCACCTTCTCCACATGCGCCCAGCCTCAAATATGTGCCTAAATAGGACAGCATAACTGTTGTGGCCCGTACGCGGCCTGTGCAGCTAGCAGCTGATTCAGACAGCGAGGAGGCTGGTGTGGTGCTGCGCCAGTAGCCTGTGCAGCTGGCACTCGAGTCGGACAATGAGGAGGCTGGAGAAGATGTGGTGCCAGAGGCAGGGATTCATGCAGGGCCTTCAGAACCTCCAGAAGCTCCCATAAGTGAAGAGGAAGAAGAGGAGGAGACTCTTCTCGATGCACGGGTGCGCAGAGCTGCCAAAAGGCAGGAGTGGCTCCTCAGGAGGAGGTCTCCTCGAGAGTAAGGCATGGGGCTAATTGGCCACTCCCTTAGCCTATTTAAGAAGGAACACCGACTGAAGCAATTTGCAGGGAACAACTTAGTTCACATACCTTCGTGTCTGGTCTTGCTTATTTTATCAGCTTCCTGCAAATTGCTTCTGGGCATTCTGCCAACCACAGTAAGCTTTCAGTATTATTCTTTGAATTCTTGGCGGCTGTTAATGCAGTTAATTAACAGCCGTTGTTGTAAAAAACTGGTTTATTTAGTAAACTGAGGTTTGAACGGAGTTTGTGTGTGCTGCGTTCTTTGGGGTCCGTAGCTGGGGCAGAACAATAGCGCCGGGGCCGATGGGCGAGCCCACCCGCAATCTCCGCTAACTGTTAAAAAAACAACAACCCAACACCGTAGATTGTTGTGGCCGTGTTTCAATTCATGACAATGTTTGCGTTTCCTCCCAGGTGAACTCTCTAGACGACAACGGTGTTCTGGTCGGAAACTGGACGGGGGATTACTCCCGCGGCACCAACCCTTCGGCCTGGGTGGGCAGCCGAGACATCCTGCTGAAGTACCTCCGTACCGGTTACCCCGTCCTCTACGGGCAGTGCTGGGTGTTTGCGGGCGTCGTGACCTCAGGTAACTGGTGTTCGCTGTTGACGTGGGGAGGGTTGCGGAAAAGAAAAGAAGCAAGAACATCAGGGATAGGGGGCCGTAGATTGTGACGTTGTGGGTGTCTTCATCCCGAGAGGTTTTGAAGAAGAGATTGGACAACCAAGTTTCTCTGAAACGATGTAGGGTCTCCTGCTTGAACAGGGGGCTGGACTAGAAGACCTCGAAGGTCCCTTCCATCTCTTTTATTCTGTTATTCCTCCCCCTCCTCCTTCTCCTCCTCCTCCTCCTGCTACTATTTTTTAAGAAGAAATTGGACATTTGTCTGGAATTGTATAGGGCCGTGATGGCGAACCTATGGCACGCGTGCCACAGGTGGCGCACGGAGCCATATTTGTGGGCACGCGTGAGAGCGTTGCCCTAGCTCAGCTCTAGCATGCATGCGTGCACTGGCCAGCTGATTTTGGGGCCTTCGCCCCCCCACCCCCCCCCGGAAATTGGGAAATGGGCCGTTTCCGGCCTCTGGAGGCCCTCCAGGGAATGGGGAAGGCTGTTTTCGCCCTTCCCAGGCGCCAAGAAAGCTTCTGGAGCCTGGGAAGGGTGAAAAATGGGCCTACCCAGGCCCACTCGTGTGTCAAAAGTGGGGGGAGCACGGGGGGGATTACGTGCGCATGCACAGGGGGTGGGGCGCATTGAATTATGGGTGTGGGCACATGTGCTCCTGCTGCTTTTGGCACACAATAGTAAAAAGGATAGCCATCACTGGTATAGGGTCTTCTGTTTAAGCAGGGGGTTGGACTAGAAGACCCCCAAGGTCCCTCCCAATTTTGTTATCTGCTATAACATGGTCCTGATCTTTCCTTTTAAAAGATCCTGAGGGGAAAAAAAGAGTAATTATTAATTATTTCTTGATGGCGACAAGCAGGCCAGTCCGTTCCCAGCCAGCGGAGGTAGTCCACGCCTTACGACCACACTTGAGCCCAAAATTCCCCTTGCTCAGCAAGACACTTGTTACGACCTCGTTCTACGACCTTTCTGGCCACCATCGTTAAGCGAATCACCGCATTTGAGAAGTTAGCAACACCGTCGTTAAGTGGATCTGACTTCCCCATTGGCTTTGCTGGTCAGAAGGTCGCAAAAGGGGGATCAACTGACCCCGGGCCGCAGCCACCGTCGTAAATATGAGTCGGTGGCCAAGCATCTAAATTTTGATCAAGGGTGAAAAAAAACGGTCCTAACTCCTAAGTCATTTTTTTTCCAGTGCCGCCGTAACTTCAAGCGGTCACTAAACGAACGGTCGTAAATTGAGGATTACCTATACTTGCGGATGATCAGCAGAAAATAGGCAGGCTCAGTTCACATGACCTGTGTGAAGGTGTGATTTCACGACATCACAACTCAGGAATTTTAAAAGAGTTTATGCAGTGATGTCATTAAGGGGGCGGGGCTTACATGGCATACATTAATTACCCTGGGCGGTTCTGATCATTTATGCATCTGATTATGACTTCCCGGAAATTTTTCTTCGCTCATCAAATGATGCCAGAATAAATCAACTACAGGTAGCACGCCCCTTAACCAGCCCAAAATGTCTACTGCGGAGTCAAACATTTGCGTTCTGTCCCATTTATGACTTTTCTGCCACGGTTATTAAGTGAACCGCTGCCATTATTCATGGTTATTAAGCAAATCCACTTTCCCCATTGACTTTGCTTGGGCATCATAAATACGAATCGGGGGCATTGCTGCAAACGGTCGTAAAATGTGAAAAACGGCCCTAAAGTCACTTTTTTCAGCGA